TAATCAACATTGAAGATTTTTATTTATCGTGTGTATATTCAAAAAGTTATATTTAATATAAATGCAGAGAGAGCAACACAATTGAATAAAAACTGGACTAAAAATTTAAAATCAATTAGGATAATCGTGATAATAAATCTGTCATCTATAATATATTCCAATGATAAATTAACAATAAACATTTTTAATAATAATTATTAAATGGATAGCGATATCATTATTTTTCATAATTTTCTAACATAATTCTAACACAATTAATTTTATCGTTGGAAAATATCGTAATGTCATATTTACATCATTAATATTAATTACATCGAGCTTACATTTTTTTTAGCTCAAAATTAAATGCGTACATATTTATAACCATAATAAACGCGTTATCGCGGTTAACCTAATCATTCTTAAAATCAACTTTTTCTCTGCGGTAACTACCAGGTAATCTTGCTCGCGTTGTCAGCGTACGCCGCTGCAGCGCCCGCTGACGACGTGATACCGATCGTCAGCCAGAGCCAAGACGGTCCCAATCCGGATGGATCCTACAAGTGGAATTATGAGAGTGGCAACGGCATCAAGGCCGAGGAGGAAGGCCACCTGGAGGACGCTGGCACCGAGAACGAGGCGATGACGGCGGAGGGCGGCTTTAGTTACTCTAGTGACGACGGTCAGCCGATCTCCCTGACATACAAGGCCGACAGAAACGGCTTCCAGCCGGTGGGTGCTCATCTACCTACAACACCGGAAATCCCGCCACTGATACAGAAGGCACTCGAGTGGATCGCGGCTCATCCGTCCAAGGATGATGAGAACCAGGTGTAACCGCGACCGGCGCCGCCGTCCAGCATATATGTGATTTCACGATCTCTCACGTAATTATTACGCCAACGCGAATGGAAGACGAGCCATGATACACCCGATGATACCGGACGATGAGTATTGCTGTGCCACCCTCGCCCTATCCTTGCCCTCGAAGCCAACACGGAATGCTCTGGTTCAAATTGTTGTAAATATTTATTGTACGTCTATGGATATATATTATATGCAATCACACATATTTTATTATTATATTGTATTAATATACGATATATATATATATTATATATAAGTATATAAAGACACGAGCATGTACCTATACGACTATGTAATTGACTCGTCGTTAGGTATATGCCATGGTGCATTAAGAATAAATGTTGCATCCCAGGAGAGAGGCGCTGCTATCCTATTAATATGCCCGATCTTTCCGACAAAATATATGCGAAAGTATGTGCGAGGTTCTCTCTACCTCGAGCCTTCCAGGAAGGAAGGATGCGGGAAATTGTGTGGTTAGCATGATAGCGTCACACTTGCTCATCTTTTTGTGTGTTCCGTGTATTAAAATTTAAAATTCAAATTTCTTTTCTTAAAGACACACGCATATAATAAAATTATTCGCGCGAATTTATTCCGATCATTTTCGAAAATGTTTCTCAATTTATTCGTGTCGATTGTTTGCGAAATTTACACATCTCAGAGATACATAGCAGCTAAAGAGAGAGACCTCGTATTCGAATAATATAATATGTATAGATATAATAGATATTAGGGCCATCACGCGATTAAGCCGAGTTGATTTACGATAGAAAGTCATATTGGTTATTACTGTAAGATATTACATCGCTGTAAACACAGCTGCTGCGCGCGTCTTTATTACTCACACACACACGATGGACCTTGCTCGCTATCATTAATCAATCACGTAGAGTGGACAAAGACGTGCGTCTTATATAACGAGCGTCATATGAAAACCGCAAGTATTTTGATTACGTTCGTTTGATGCAATGAGCATTTAGATAGTTTGTTTAATCGCTTTCGAGATAATCACGATTCACATTTATATGTTTGTCATTTATTAACAATCTACTAATTCTTAAATATAATCCCGTTATAATTAAATTGAGATAAAGCGCCTAAATAATATTATTCTCGTTTCAAGCCATTTTGGCAATAATCTAGAGATTGTATTTTTCAATATTTTGTTAATAATACTGCTTGAGTCAGTAGGTTATAGTAGGTGCAAATTAACAAAAATATTTTTTTTTTTTTTTAGTTGAAAAGCTGCCATTTCACGTTGATGTATGACAAATATAAATTAGCGCCGACACATCATTCTTCTCATGAATCTTTTCATCCCGAGTGATTTACGCCATTATCGATGATCAAACATTCGTCTACGTAAAGAGATCCGCTATCTGTCGAGAAGAATGGTACCGAGCGATCGAATCTTGAAAGCTGTCACTCCGTGTCGTGCCAAGTTGTAAGGGATACGAATACACAGCGTTAATATATTTCTTCTGTCGACTGCTTTCATCTCCTCTAACGATGAAATCAAAGAATGCTTTTACATGGAGAGATTTGTTATCTCGAGCGAAATAATACTTGTGTAATATAAGATTAGTACACGTGGTCGTGTCACGGTGACACCGCGGATAATCTTTATGAGCGATGTCTTTTTCGCAGGCCGGTCATCTATCGCCGGAGACTTTCTAAAAGGTCGTCTGGCAGCGATTCGTTGACATCAGACGGCTCCGGGAGGAGGGGGAGAGGGTGGAGGAACCGGAACCGATTATACTTCGCGGCGATCTCATTGAACTTTCACCGCGGGCGGTACGACATTCGTCATGTATAGCCGTTTAGCGCGTGAATCGTGTTCTAAATTTGTTACAGCATCACGTAACCGCGACTTACATAAATCTTCCTCGCGCAAGCTCGTGTTTCAATCTCTTGCAAAGTTTATTCCCACAGAGAAGAAAGAAATTGTGTACAAGCTTCGTATTTCCCAAAAGCGCAGTTTCCTAACAATTTGTCGATAGTTTGATTTCTTAGTCAAATTTTGATACAAGTTCAAATTATATTATTTTCTTGATAATACTTTGATCAAAATAAGATAAAAAATCGCGCAAAAATGACTGATGAATTTTAAATAAATATGTATATTTTAAATTAGAATATATTTGAATTAATTGAGAAAAATAGATTTAAAATTATGCATTATTTCTGATACATGAAAAAAATTCAATAAAAATATATTTATATCGGAAATTATTAAAATGCCACACTACATTAACATAACAGCATTCCTCTTAACATAGATTTTATTATTTGTGGTTAGAGAAAGTGAAATTCTCTTTTCCGGTATACATTCTAGAATACTATAGTACACTTATTGCACAAAACCAATGTCGTTCTTGCTGTATAATGATGCTATGTTGTATCACCGTATTTCACAAATATTATAACAATTTCACGTTTGACAAAATATTAATCTGAATATGCATTAGGATGCGATGTATCGGCGATATAGCCAGCGCAACTCGTAATGTTTATTAATAGTTCCATAAATTCGATTATCCGGCCTCGATTAATTCCACCTATCGCAGTCTTATTTGCGCTCGCAATTCAACAAATACCGATTATGATCGTGCCGTCGAATCGAAATTACTGCCGCAATCAAGAAACATGATTCGCAGAATTTATAACCGAATTATGAAGCGGCCGCTTGGTATTAATTATCAAATTAAACGCGGTGGCGCACGAACATAACACACATACGCACATCTCCGTAAACAATTTAGCGTAATAATTGGCGTATGTGAATATTCCCGCAGACGAGCAATCCGTGTTTGTTTACGCGCACATTCATTTTGATGATTATAATCATTTCAGACATGAAAAAAGGGGATATTAAAGAAGAAAAAATAAAATAAAATAGAAATAAATTTAAAAATAAGCAAGAGAAAAATGTGAAAAAGATTGATCTATATTCATTCATTTAACTGAAATAAATAAAAACATAAATTATTGTATAATTATTATAATACAGTATGCGTGTAACGTAATATAAGTAAACTATATATATGCTTTTATCATTTATATAATATTATATTCTTGATTTTTAATTATTTTATTACTCACTCGTTTATATTTGTATTTTAATATCAAGTTATTGTATCAATGTATATATCAATTTAACAGAACTATTTCTCTCTCATAATGCGCATTTCACCCGCAATCTAATCGCTCGAGCTACCACTATATTTGTATATCTGATTTCGAAAAAACGTGGTTGACAATACGACAGCAAGAAACTCTCACTATCATTTACTTATGTAACGATTCGTCTTTCTCCTTCGCCGCAATGACCATTTCTGACCCGGATTTTTCTATTACCACAGTCATGTGTCCACACCTAACTTGATGAGTTTGCTATTCTCACGTCACATAGCCTCTCACAGAATGCTCTCGCAAATAAGGTAGGTGAAGAATGCTGCTGTATGTCGCGTGAAAGAGTAAATATTTAAATATCGATCCTTACTTAACGATCAGGAAAGTGCTCGTCGAGAGAGATAGCAATATATTTTAGAATGCATTAGCAAATATTTTCTTTCTATTGCATTAAAAATAAATAATAAATATTGCAGATTTATAAAATATTTTATAATGTAGATATTCTCGAATACATCCGAAATGTCTAATGGATACATTTTTATTTATGGACTTGTATAAATTTATGTATTATTAGTTCTAAGGTTCTTAGTTTAAAAGATGTTCTGATCTGAAATCAATAACTCTCTCTCTCTCTCTCTCTCTCTCTCTCCCATTCTTGTGTACATTCTATTATCTGTGGTAAGTGGTAAACCGATGGATAGAACCGTTCAAATTATATAGTCAAACAAGATAATTATAATATTGAAGTAAATAATATGTGTGTATGTGACAATGTCATATTTTGTAATATTATAATTGATAGCGTAATTACTTCTTAATAATCTGATAATATATATTAAACAAGCTGTTATCAATTTCAATGATTTTGTAACTGAGTTTATCCCTCTAGCGAAACATTTCAATATCATATTTATCCCAGTTTATTACAATTACTCCAATTAATCGTACACGCGCGATTGTTTCATCAAACGTTGAATATACTTACAAGGAATCTAAAAATAAATAACACGTTTGTTCAATATATATATATATGACTTTTATATCCTTTTTATTTTTACATATGATGTCAAGTTAAACATGTACAACTGAAACATGATTGTTCAACGTTGTTCGTAGCAAAGGCACGTCAGCGATTAAACTTTGTTTCTCTCCTCCTTGTAGGGGTGAGCGGCTATCCAGTCGAGGGCGCGCTGGATGATGGGCGGAATTTCCGGCGGGGGTGGCGGGGTCGGCAGATGCGCCCCTTGGAAAGTGGCGCCGTTCTCGTCCGCCAGCCAGCCGAGATTAATCTTCTGTCCGTCAGGCGCGGTCCACGTCACCGAGCCGCGCACCTCCTCAGCCTCTTTGTCCTTCTGGCCGGGGTTCTTTTGTACGCCCCGTTCCTCGAAGGTTATCCCGTTCGCGCTCTCCCATTTCGTGAAGAAGCTACCGTCCGGGCTAATGTCCTGTTCCTGCTTGATGATGGCTATCGGCTCATTCGCCGCCGATATTATTGCCGCCAGGCTCAGCAAGATAATTACGTGCGGATTCATCCTGAGCGGGATCGGAGATGGATTAGGGACTCGTCTAACGCTTGACTGGCGATCACACATCGTATGCATCGTTTATTTATAATTTTGTTAACATTCGTTAACAGCGTTACAATACTTGATTTATATCATTTTTCAAATAAGTAGTTTATATAAAATGTAATTAAAGAATTTTTAAATGCAATTCTAAAAATGAAGAACTGATGCAAAATATTGCAAACTTGTAGTTTATAAAGATTTTGATAACTTTTAATTATCTCATATTTTTGTCTAATAGATAGAATTTAAAGCTACAGTGTTTAAATATAATATAAACGAGAAATACGTTTCAAATATATTGGAGTTTTGTTAAATTTTCTTAGATATAAAGAATGATTATATACAAACTATATAATTGCAATAACGTACTTCGTGATTCAACTGACAGGCGATTCCAAACTCTTACTTCAACTGTGCTTCGTTTTCCAGATATTACATACACGGTACTACTGAGCGTTTATCTATTGCATTCGCCTTTTATAGATAGAGGTATCCTGTGCTATCGTCGACGTATTGCTTCAAATGCCACTCGATGATACCGGTTCGAACTTTATTATAGACTGACGCACACGCTACAAAAGGAATGTTTTCTTTTACTTTTATTCCATGATTCGGAATACGTATCAGAAACTTTATACTTCTGCCACTACCCTTTTGACACACGCGCAGACATATACACATACACTATCTTGTTATTATCAATATTTATCACTAACGTGTGTTTGAATGTAGCAATTACTTTTTATATAAGATCTACACAAGAAAAGAAATTAATATAAATGCAATATAGTGAAATCTTGCATGTGATTAGATTGTAAAATTTATTTGAAATTTAATCCGCAAAACCTTTATATAAAAGCAAATAAAAAATTCAACATATTACATGTCGCTCGTGCACATTTCTGCAAAGAGGCAGATAGAGTTCAAGTATGTGTTGCAAATACATATAGTGGTTTAACCTTTGAAACGCACTTTGTGTATCCATTCGTTTTTCCTCAGGATTCCTTTCGCGATCGATGTGCATTGCACTCGAGTGATTTTTTATTATTAACGCCCGACAGCTGCGACGTATACGATGGGTCGTTGGAACATTTATATCCATTCGAGTCCTTTTGTGGCAATTTTCATGTACGTTCAGCTTTTTGTAGCTTTGCTCATTTATAGCCATACCTTTTATTAAAGCATTAATTATCCGATATTGCCACTAACATTTTTCAAATATATTTTGTTTGCATTTGTTTTAATGTTAAATTCTCTTGCATATTTATAGCGTAATTAAATTATTAAGCGTTATTCTTGTAAATATTATCAAATTTAGCTAATATTTATTTTCCACCTCCCACAATTCATCATTTTTTACATACTAGAAAAAAACGCAGAAACTGCGATTAAGCCTCAATTAACTTTAAAGTTTATGTTCGCAGTTTTAAAAAAGACAATTGCGTAAATTATACAAAGATTGGGAATATCACATACAGATTAAAAAATTGCTTAAATATTAAAGCTATATAATCAGGTTAAAATAAGTTTTGATTAAAATATTGCGGTTTTTGCAATGAGCGAGGTAATTCACACAATTCATATTGTGGATATATAAAAAATATAATATTTATAATATTTAACATATATGGAAAGTGTCTATCTCTAACGGATGACATTTTGCGTGAAATTTTTACCATCTTTGTATCAATTTTGTTACGGCAGTTAGAGCTTAAAATATGCGTTACATATTTAGTTGAACTAAGACAAAGAACACATTGGCTCGATAAAAGCGATCGATACAATTATTTATTAGCAAGCGGTATAAGTAAATAATATTGCGCGATGTTGTTACATATAGAAATAATTGTGTTGTGTTTATTAGACATTTTATTCTAGTGAATTCTCTAGTCACTTGCATAATGCAGTTTCATTATCGACTATTGAATCATCTTGTCAGTTGCCGTAAATGAATTTGATACTCGATAAAATACGCACGCACGCACGTCGAAGAAATCAGCATTTCATAAAAGGATACGTCATTGAAATCGTAGCCGGAGATTTTCCGCGACACTCTGCGTAATATAATAGTACGGCCACGCGAGTCATCAGTTTTTTATTTAGTACTCATTGTTAAAACAAATCTGTTGTCAGACGCGTTTAGGTTTTTGCTCCCGCCAGATAATGTAACATTTATTGTTTGAGAAAATTAATTAATTAAAAATGTACGCGAAGCAATAAATTGCAAAATGACGCAAAGCCAAAGATGTATTTATAATTTTTAAATTTTTAACGATGGAAGCGAGGCACAAAAAGGAAACATTTTTAGTGGCATACGCGCAATTATTTAGCATTTACTGTATTCATGTCGTGTTTTGCATTTACATCAATGTAAAGCGAGAGGGCTTCTCCTCCGCGTCTTTCTCATAAAATTATTTGCGTGCACGCAAGTTTGGAGGCTCAATATCTAAATAACAGAGTCGGAAAATGAGTGTTCTCGTTGTAATACGCGAGGAAAATAAATAATTCTTCTAAAAAATAAAAGTCTACATGATGAAAAGTAATTTACCGAAGCATTTTAAGAACTGCTTGTAATATTCCCTCCAGCTTCTTATGACCTTTATTTCTACACGTTATTATACGATGTAGTAAAGAATAAAAATCTGTCGCAATATATATAATAACATGTAATAAAAAATACTAAGAAATGCACGCAACTTTAATACAAAATAAAATTTTTATATTTTTATTGCAATTTATCAGTAAATGTAAAAAATAATTATACCAAAAAAATAAGATTTGTTTAAGTTGCATTTATTATTCATACAATTTATAGAACATGGTATTGTATATATAAGTTATCGTTAACTTCTAGCAGGAAAAAAAGACTGGGGATGGAAAGGATAAGGTCATCGAGAATTACAACAAAATTTCCAACTTGGGCAAAACGCTTTTATTTATATACAAAAATCACAAGTTAAGTATACGTATATACTATTAACGACCGACGCGCGTAAACGATTCGCACGCGCGTGTCGTTTTCGTTTCTTGCGTGCGGAGGCGGCGCGCGTGCATCTCGGCACGGCATCGTCCCTCCCTGGTGAAACTGTTGAACAGTGCGCTTTATTTTCCATCTATACAAAAGTAAGATAAAGAATCTCTCGAGAGTATATTGCTTATTAAATATCGGTGTCTCATGCCTTGTCTTCGTGTTACGTTGTATCCTCTAGATTAATATACCACACTATATTTATTTTTATGTTTGCGTCGAAAGCTCGGGGTCGGTTCTATCCATGGCAAGCTGGCTCGGAATCAGGTCACGTTTGAAGTAAAGTTGGGCTGATTAACCTGCAACAGAAGGTAAACCAGAAGCGTGAGGACGGTGTCTGAAATATTTAACGAAGACAGGTTACATACACACACACACAGAGTCGATAGTATGTACGTTAACGTAGTTACACATCGATAGAGAGACGCTTTATTGTGTTCCGTGTCTGTATTATATATGTATGCGCGGACATAGCAATGGATAGCGAAAGAATATAGTATATATAATCAAAATATATAAAATCTGTTTTTAAAATATTAGAAGATATATACATATATATAAAGCGAAAAATGTGTATAATATATAAATAAAGAAGATATAAAATAATTATATAGGAAAATATATTCAGATCTACTATAAAGTTATATAGAATCGGCGATTTCAGAACAATCTATGGGAAATTGCGCCATGGCGATTCGTGATTACGCTTCCGCACCGTAACTTTTGATGCGTTCGTTTTGCTAGGAGAATCCGTTCCGCGCCTCGGACGACGGTGGATCCGAATAGAGCTATTATCGGCGAAATATGGAGCCTTTTCCGGCGCGTATCTCTATACGGGGTAACCAGATTTTGCTCCGTAAAAGTGATTAACGTACGCCGAAATTGTTTTCGTTCCTCGTGCACGGTCGCCACAAAGATATTTTCGGTTCACCGGCGCGCCCCGATTCGGGCCAATTTCAATTTCGAGTTCAGGACTAAAGTGAATTAAACGACGTCACGAGCGAGTCTCGTGAGCTACTGTCGGAGTCGAGCGAATAAACTGATTTACTTCGGTTTGTCGGAAACACAGAGGACGAGGCGTCGCTTAACGCATAGGGAAATTTAAACGGCTGCTTGATCAAAACGGGTCACGACCGACGATTGAGATTATCCGACATAAATCGATATCGCGGCAGGATTTTTACCACCGATTTATTATACCCGAAAATCGCGTGTCTTCTGTCCTGCGGTAATTCGATTAACGTCATTTTTTCGTACGCTATTTCTCGCGTACGGTCAAATTTCAGCCGACGACGAAAAAGGAAAATTGCGCGATTTAATCGTTAACTCTGGACAGAGGCGCTTCTACCAATTATGAAATTAATTAAATCTCCGGTTGTGGAACACAAAGAAGCTTCATTTCTACCACGCAACGCCACGTAGTCACATGAGTGATATCCCTCGGGGGTGTAGAAATGCTGTTTCAAACGCCCCGTACCTTTTGAAGTCGCACATTTGATTATTAATCTCCCCTAATTGTATTTTCGGGCTCGCGATAAATCTCGTATGCCGATCTCATGCGAATGTTTCGCGATGTATATTATTTTGTATCTTTATCATCAAATTTAAAATTCTTTTGTTTTTGTTTTGCATTGTGTAACTTACGCAAATTTTATCGAAAACTCGATTGATTCATTCATTTATTGAATATTAAATCTTATAATTCTAATTAAACGTTAAAATATTAAAATGTTTATGGTTACATCCGCAATTCAAGATCGCGTTTTTCTTGCACCACCGAAACATTGCGAAACACCGATAAATAATCCTCAACTCTAATAACATTTTTATTAATATCTCAATCGCCACGAAATAATCTAAAAACGATACGAGCTCGACAAAATTCAAAAGACTATTATTTAATTGCTATGACGAGAGTCTCACCTCTTGGTGGTGGTCTTTGACCGCCATCGTCCTCTTCGGGATGAGCGGCGTTCCATTCGAGCGCCCTTTGGATCTCCGGGGGGATGGGGGGCGCCGTCGGGATGTGGGAGCCTTGCACCTGGAAACCGTTCTCGTCCGCTACCCACGAGATGCTGACCTGTTGGCCGTCAGGCGCCACGTACGCATCCTGGCCCTGCGAGACGACCGGGTTCTCATTGTCCACTTGTTTCGGCTGACCCGTTTCCTGATGACTGATCCCGTTGCTCGTCTCGAAGCTGATGACGATGAAAATTAGCGTAATAATAGTAATAATAATATCAAATAAATTTTATTAATTTTTTTCGTTTATTTATCGAAACTGATATTAAAAATATATTAATATTTCAAATATATGTGTACTTGTTCTCATTCGAAAATTTAAGCCAGTTTTCTTGCATAATGTTTTAAATGTAGAAGTTTAGATATGAGTATGAATACAAAGGAATCCTTATAATTTCGTAATTAAACCCAAGAAATCATTTCTATAATTTACCATATAATGATTGTAGGAAGAAATTAAATTCTATTGTGTCGTCGAGTTAACGATCGGGCGAAGAATATATCCGCAATTCATATAAGGTTAAAATATGAATTCATGAGGCGTCACGCGACCACTGACGGTCCCCGAACAGTACACGAAGGAGA